TCCTTCCAAGGTTGAGAATTTTCCTGTCTGGTACTCATTTTTTTCAGGGCATTTGCAAGATTGTCTTTTGCCTTTCGCCTTTCCTCGCATTGGTCATTTCAAAGGCATCTGAAATAGAGGAGAATGTGACTTAAAACACACAAATATTTCCCACCAATTAGGAGACTTAGAATATTATTCCAAAAGAACATGATCGTGACAATTTAGTTAGAAGCTACTTAGACTTATACAATACATTCGATGACTTAAACTTAAACAATATTTCCGAATTTTACATGCACTTGTACTTGATGTACTGTTGACGTCTGATCAAGTTAACGGCCAAATGTGCAACAAAAGGTTTCAACCGTTTAAAATCTGTCTAGTTCTGTACCTAAAATTCCTTACACACTCGTAAACTTGGGTTTGTTGAATGCCTTGCTATGAACGAGATAAGATTACGTATAGCAAATATATAAACAATACGACTTACCCGAGTTTGTCCATCGCGTTCAGAGGATTCATTCGATAGCGTGCATGATGTCCTTGAAAGCCATCTTCTCAAACTTTGAAGCTGCTCGCTGTTGAAGCCTAAGGGAAACAAAAAGTAATAAAAAGAAGTTAATCTTATCCGACTGTCACTGTTAACTTTCCGTATAAATTAAAATATAAGGCAAGAATAAATGCAAATAAGAAGCAAATTGTGCCGTGCTTCGGTTCTGCGATAAACACATCACGCTTTTTTTCACAACAAGGCAATAAGCTATTTTTTAAAATATATATAGATATAATCAGCAAATAATCAGCTCCCCTTTAACCTTTTTTACGACCAATAGTGATTATTAAAATTAGATTTTATTATCTCAGAACGCTGCGATAAAATGTAAATATGACAAATTTATAATTATTTACTTAGTCAACGTTTTAGTACTTCAAAGCTGAGGATCATAAATTTTACTTGTATCTTTAACGAGATAAAATTTCCCCCCAAAACAAAACAAAAACAATTAAGCAGCAAAGTATTACATTGTGTGCGCTGTTTAGGTACGTCACGCTGACCATCAGTGCGCGCCACTCGTATGGTTATGTAGTCAAGTTTTCCGCGCGCAATGGTATCAAGTCGAGTTGGCGCAGTGGTTTGGTGCGCGCCTCTCGCTCCGGGACTAGACAGAGTCGCGAGTTCGAGTCCCGGTCCTGGCGTGGAGAAGTACTTTTTTTCCTTTTTAAAACCAGAAATTAATTGACCAAACCTTCCTTGTGTACCAATTTTCAAAAAATCAATTTTACAGTGCAAAATCTGATCGCTTACATTGAAGGAAAAAGAGCAAAGAATTTATCGTAAAATGTAATTTGCGTTCAACCATTAAAAAACCGATGCTTTTTACACGGATGGACAAGGACGCCAATATGACTTCTCCTGGCCAAACGAACTTACTTCTTGGTTCCAAAACTTTTATAGCTCGATGTATTCGATATTCTTATACTAAATACGCAGCAAAGTTCAGCCAA